ATGGCGCCAAAAAAGTTCGCTATTTAAAATGCAGACATCGATCAGGCTCAGCGTCAGCCACCCCCATCATCGTCACCATGTGACGATAATTTCCTTTCTTATGCACTTTTTGACACTTTTTCTAGTTCTTCAAATTCTGAGCTACATGTAGATAAATGTTGCACCGTCACAGCAGTATCGTCGGAGTCCGAACTTTCCGAACCGCGATGGATGTTATTTTTTCTGAGATGAAGTTTTGCTTCTTCGGACATTGGAGTCAAATTCTTCCTTTTTTGTCCCTTCCTTCTCGTAATTTCTAATCATAATTCTGATAACAATTTTAAGGAGCGCTAATTTTTTGATGTGTCACACACGGTGTACTAATATAGAACGATCACAGAGACGGGGCGTGCGTGCGTTGTTTCCGTTGCTAAGTAGGCCAACTTATGCAAATTAGGTCAATATTTATTGTTTGCGCTCAAAGCCGATTATCCTGAAATCAAAGTGAGCGGTCTGCTGTTATAAACACATATCCTAACTTTTTTGTTAAAAATGCCTTTTTTAGGTGTACTGGTTACTATTTTGAGTGGGAAACACATCCATTGCATGCAGATAGACAAATGCCACCGAAATAGACAATAAACAAAAAATGTATAAAATAGTGACTGTTATGTCTACTACATCCTTAAAGGGGAACCTTCCAAGCTCAGGGATTGCACCAAAGAATCTTGGGACACTATTGTTTATGTTGTTTACAAAGTTAATCTATCTTTTGTTATCCATTGTAATTTTAATCCAGAAAGTAAATTTGTTGTGAGATTAGGCCTAACTGGAAGTGCCCCTTTAAAGCTAGCTAAATATTTAGTTAAGCTTGGGACTGTAACTTGCCAGATCGACAAACTCTCAGCCAAGTAATTTTGTAATATTGGTTGCGTCTACATTAATCTACAATCAACATGTATTATACATTTGTTTTGCAAAAACAAGATTACCTAGAATTTTGAATGTCTATAATGGGTATATTTTTTGTCAAGAGTTGTGTACTTTTTACAAAGCTCCATGGGAACCTGCTGATGCTAGATCATATCATGGGAAATGTTACGTCTTTATTCGAAAAAAATTAATCACTATTTATTCAATCAACTGAAAATTATTCTATTAATTCATGCACAAAAAAAAAATTACTTCCATTTGTATCCTATAAATTCATACTTATTTTTACTAATGCGAATTAATACAATGTTCATTGTACCAGTAATTGTTTACTTTTGCAGATGGATTTAATTTCAAAAGAAAATTTACAATAGAACTCCTTGTTTTACTAATCAAATGAACATTTTTTTTATTTTAAGTTTGATAATGATCTGTAACCATTTGGTCTAAAATTATTAATAAAATTACAAAAAAATACATAAAAACAGTCCAAACATTGCACAAAAATTTAACTAGAAAAAATGTTGGTGATAAAAGGATTAATCTAGGGACCACTGCAATAATTAAAATATCTATTTTGGGACTTGTTTATTAGAACTCTAGGGATTTACAGAGAACAATAGTCCGTCCTGATTAAAAACCATGATGCATGTTCATTCTTGGTTTGTTGAGTTTAAATTACCTGGGAAGAGAAATCTAAAACAATATTCATCCAACTGTTACTATAGTGTACACGTATCGTGGGTCAAAATGAAAAATCTAAAAATAAAATAATAAATAATTCATAAAAGAAACAATATTACAGAACCTCATGGCAAAAAATTTTGTATTGTAAATAGCCAAGGTATATGGACTTCATAGTATTTGGAACATGTCAGACAAATACAGATCAACCCGCGGTTCAAAGTCGCCACTTACGGGGACTCTGGGGATCAAACTACGGTCCAGGATCCTTAATTTTTAGAGGAAACACTTTTTTACTGCTTAAAATGGTGAGTTTTTAATATTTGGGCCTGTTTTTTTATTTATTCAAATTTGCAAATTTAAACATTTATCCAGTGCAATACTGCAATTTGCTTATACCATAGTTGTGCGGTTAAGAGCCCAGGGTCCTGAACATGACAAAACTACACTAGGGAGTGGAATGGAGAGAAAAAACATGCAACAGAAATAAATGAACAATATGCAACATTAGAATTATAACAAAAATAATTTAGTGCTTATTATGTGACAAATAAACCAGAAATAATAAATATCGACAGAGAGG